CCCAGGGCAGTCCATTTGCGTCTAGCGCGACAGTGATCGACTACACTGCCTCTCATATCGCTTCCACTCCGCCTCTAGCCTTGACGTTAGTTCTTGCCATGCACGCTGCTCTGTCAGCGCCAGCTGCTTGCGTTCCACTCCCTCCACACTTGTGCAAATGTGGAGGGGGATATCACTGGCACCACCGCGCCTAGTTCTCCGCGTGCGTGACTGCGGGATGAAGTTCGTGCGGGGTACATTTTTTATGGGGTCATCAGAAAATAGTCCTCTAATTTGAGTTTTGAGGCCCTTTTTAGAGCGCGCCGTCATGCCATACTTGACGCAGGGAGTTGCTGACCCTTTTTGGCATCGGTGGTTCATCGGCTCTTGGGTGTTTCCTTTCTGGGATGGGACAGTCAACATTGTGTATGTGTATTTGAGGTGGTGAGTTAAACCACATTTGGGGGTGATGTTCGGTTCCACACGTTGCAAGCAAGGGGACGTGGTTCTTTTACGATAAGGGTTTTGTCGGTGCTCATGGATTGAGCACGAAAAGATGCTCCCAACAGGGGTCGAACCTGTGACCTTGGGCTTATTAGACCCACGCTCTAACCGACTGAGCTATGAGAGCCACGGGTCCGTGGGGCTGGGGAAACACTTCGCGTATTCCACTCCAGGAACACCAGCCCAAGGTCGCCTCAAAACCCAGAAAGTAACCTTCTCTCTCCTTGAACTATTACCACAAACACAGTCAGTGGGGGAGACGAAAATACTCGCATTGGGCATTAAGAAACGTTTACTCCTGCAACGTGTTCTTCCTTGTTTTTTGTTTTTCTCACGATACGGGACACGTCATGTTTTTACTTCTGGTTTACTCTCCATATGTGATGCGTACAAGAACAACAAGAAGGCTCTGCTTTCTCATTTTCAAAGGTTGACGTCAAATACAGAGTTTGCAAACCCACGGCTCCCGGGCTCCCGTACAGCGGTATCACTCCGGGGACACAACGGTGAGGTCATCCCACAATTAGTCAAGACCGTACCGAAGAGTTATAACCATTCTCTTTTGTCGCCCACATGACCCCACCCTCGGGGGAGAGAAATAATAATAACGCAATACAGGCATTACCTTGGTTCCAACTAACGCTGATCACNATCCCAATAATATATTGGTTTTTCCTTTACAATCATACATCACGCATTAAGTACTCCACTGTCTATCCGTTACCTAAACTTTTCTTTTGTCAACAAGTAAAAAAGTAACACACAACATATTTTGAAGACAAGAAGAAAAAAAAAAAAAATAAAAAAAATGAAAGGATGCAAAAATAAAAAAAGAAGAAAGTCATTTTCCTACTTTCACTATAAATGACAACAAGGCGACTGAACATAGTTGATTAGCACACATATACGGTCGCACCAGTGTCACTCTTTTCTTTTTTTTTTCGGAATACCTTTCCTTTTTATTTTTATTTTTGCAAAACTATTTTTAAGTCGGTTTTATTTCCCTTATAAAAAAAAAGTTCAACGAAAGACATGTAATCATTACGCGAATATGCGCAGAAATTTACATAATGTATAATAACCAGAAACCAACCGCCTTTATATGGGGTTTCTCCTTATTCATTCCTTCACTCTTAAGTTTTTCGTTAATTTATTCGTCGTGTCTTTATGTGGGTTACTCCAATGGTACGACTGTTATCTTACCACCGTAGAGCACCTTAGTTAATCCTCATTAAGAAAAGTGTTATAGCAGAAGATCCTTTTGTTTTGTGGGGTCCTCAAACTCTTGTAATGCATGTGTTGTTATTTTTGTTATTTTTGGTTTTTTTTTTTTTTTTGTTATTTAGTTTTTCTTAGTTTAAGGTTTTGTTCCATACTTGTGATAAAACCGTTTCCATACGAGAGAACTAGTTCTACGAGAAAAATCTACTCCCACCTTCCTTACCCAAAGCTCGTCCTTAGTTTCTTTTTTTTGTCTATTTAATTGGCCTCAATGAACTCCTATTTGTTTTTGTTGCCTGTTGGGTCTGCGACAAACGCCTCTTACGTACGATTCCATCGGTTTTTTCCATAATCGAGGGTATTACCAGTTCTAGATGGTAGAGATCTTACAGGGGGTGATGGAGGAGAGGTAGGGGTTTCCCGGGTGAGAAGAGTGGAGTATAGCGTAGTTCCGCTCCACCGCAATAAGGAATTTTGCTAACCGCTTAGAAAAACATAGTTTCTTCAGGGGTATATCATCAACTATCGCAAATTGGACTCGCAGTGGATGAAAAGCGGGACAACTCAAGAGGTGCAGTGCCGTTTCGTCACATTCGTCGCGTTGACTGGTGTGTGCGCATGAGTGGGTTGATACCCATGTCGTGACATTCGGTGCAGAGTTAAGCCCGATATACTTATACACACTGACGGTTGCATGTGGGGGCAAACTAGAGCCGGAAGATTTCTTGTTTTCGCCTCTTTACCCCTGCGAGTGGTTGGAGCTCACTTTTTGTCGGCATTCCTTGTCCTTCGTGGAAGTATCTGCAGTGGTTGCAAAGGGAGACTAGGTGTGCGTAGAACTTCTGGCATAATCCGCATTGGACTTTCTCTCTGTCCTCACGTTCCGGTGATGGCGAGGTATCTCGCTGTCGTTTCTTATTGCGCGGAACGTTACCTTTATGGATGCCGACAAAATTGGAGCCTCAGGTGAGTGTTTGCATTTTTTGTGGCGTGCAAGGAGTAATTTGTTGTTGAAGTCTCGCAGAAAAAACTAGCAAAGTAACGATGCAGGTTGCGAGATTAATTGGGTACGGGGTACATTTTTTGTGGGGTCATCAGAAAATAGTCCTCTAATTTGAGCATTGAGGCCCTTTTTAGAGCGCGCCGTCATGCCATACTTGACGCAGGGAGTTGCTGACCCTTTTTGGCATCGGTGGTTCATCGGCTCTTGGGTGTTTCCTTTCTGGGATGGGACAGTCAACATTGTGTATGTGTATTTGAGGTGGTGAGTTAAACCACATTTGGGGGTGATGTTCGGTTCCACACGTTGCAGGCAAACGGGTCAGGCCTCGATGTACTAGACCTTAGCACCAAGAGAAGACGGCCGGCATCACCAAGGACTCTTGAATCTACTACTTCGTCTTGCTTGGGAGGCGACTGAGCTCAAATTTATTCACATAAGACATGACCCGCAACGTTTTCTCCAGCTCTGAGCAGAAAAAATCAATACCAACAAGAACAGCAATGCTCATGTTCACGTCGTGGTTGACAGTGAAATCCTCAGGGCGCCGCATAAAGCTCACATTGCGTGGTGCCGTTAGTTCCTCACGAACAAACGAGGTTTCATCTATCTCTTCTGAGTCGATATCACCGCCATATGGCGATTTTATCACATTCGCCAGTACTCTGCCATCCACCGATTGATCATAGGAATGAAGATGTGATGGTGCAAATATACTATTGTTAAACATACTATTGTTACGCAGTTCCTGTGCTTTATTTCGGATGGCCATAATGATGTTTTGTTGCGCCGCGCTAAATGCTTTCTTTAGCTCATTATTGAGGACCAGCAGTGCTGAGAAATGTTTTGCTGAGTTGTTGTAGGTCCATATAGTTGGTTTCTCCACTGCATCCACAAAGTCCTGCATGACAAGAAGACTATATCGGTTAATGCCACGAACCAGTGGCTTGATGGAATGCAAAGTCTGCTTCAATGCCGGATCGACAGGCGCAACACGCTTCCGGTGAATGCTCAGTAGACCCAACACGATAATATCCACAGAAGATGCGAGTCGACGCAAGACCGGGATGAGTTCCTCATGGTGGTGCTTTGGAAATGGCAGGCCACGAATGGTTGGCTCCGTCGCAGCTGTTTGAAACAGCGGTGGTAGTTGACGTACACTTGCCCACATTCCAGCACATCGTTTTTTCAGTTCAAGGAGAAACTCAACTGTTCCAGTTTCCTCTTCTTTAACGGGTGACTGCAAAAAGTCTATCGAATCAGTGAAGTTATCGGAAATGTCTTTAACCGCCTTCGATTCCTTGCCATGGAGCACCTTTATAGGATCAATTGGAAATACAAGAACAATGATTGCATGATATGTAAATGCGGTGAAGGTGCATGACATAAGGCGTGACAGCGACATCAGCGGAGAGGCGACAAGGTGGAACATTGTCGGCAACATGAGGGCTGTATAAAATCCGAGTTGAAAATAACCGGGTATTATACGGAGAAAGAGTGATAAAAACACTGCAAGTGATATGAGAGCATATTTTTCGACATCGTTCCTATGATGGTTGTACACCAAATATGAAATTGATGTGGCAAGCATAAGTCCGGTCAAACGCTGTGCTCCCAATACCAGGGATTCCCCCACAGTTGGGAGACCCACACCTACGAGAATTGCCATGCCGAAATAGTAAATGCTCTCCGTGTCAATGGTGAGTGCATATATTAGTGCAAGTGTGTAGCCGCATGCGAGTTTAAATGCATCCTTTGCCAAACGGACATCACGGGGTGTGGCCAATGTGATACGCTTCGGCAGCTCAGTCCAGAAGTCATTCCAGTAATCCAGAAAGAAAAACTCTAGTATATGACGAGATGTGGATTTGTACCGCTTCCTATCAAAGTGTCGCATTAGCTCCGCGTACTTCACAAGCTCTTCTCCCAACAGTACCATCATGAGGTGAGCAAACACAAGGTGCATGTACTGCACAGCATTCGGAGGTCCTTCTTTTCGCTTCATCATGTCGAAGTGCAGCTTATCGATAGCAGATTGCAGCTTTGTGGTGGCTGCCTCGAGTTCATCAAAGGGCACCTTTTCCACCACTTCTTTTGGGTTCAGAAAAGAACCAAGTGCCTTTAGTGTGGCGTCAAGTGCGTCGAGAAACTCGTTTAGTGGATTTAGCAGAACATCCATTGAGGTTTTCGAGAGGGAGAAGGAATTGTTTTCTATACCATCTTGGTGTGGCTCTTTAGCTTGCTCCAAATTCAATTTGCGTGCTGCACCTGCCAAAGCGTGCAGCATGGGCATAAGACGACGCAGCCACTCTACGCGTTCTTTCCTCAGCTGCAGCCGCAGTGTCGATTCCCACGGTTCATACGTAATAAAGAATAGTTTTTGTGGGACAGTGTCCAAACAACTGTTTATTGGATCAGTGCTAATTCTTGCAAGCGCCAATACGGTCTCAAATGGATCCTCTGACCAGCAGGCTGTGGCAGCATTGCGTACTATGCTTCCAACATGCACCCACGCATCAGCCATCGCCGCATCCGCTCGGCTGGTTATTGTAAAGGGTGGAAGGAATGCCTGGACAATGGCGAATCCCACAGGTATGATCAAATCACGACCCACTTTTACAGCTAAAGTGGAACTTTGCATTCCTCTATCCCAGAGTGCCCGTTGAACTCCCATCACAAGAAGTGAAAGTAGTATGCACAATCGTTTACCGCGCCAATCTCCAGTAAGTGCCACAAAAAAAGGACCAAAAAATACTGCACACCACCACGCGATGGGATGTTCTAGCAGGTTGAAAAGATACATCAGCGACCCCCACAGCATCACCCATACACCAACTTGAGTGCCAATTATCGCAAAAACAAACTGCTCCCCAATGGTCTCCTGGCCGTACGCAGCAACAAACAGACTCATAGCGCTGTACATTGGAAAGATGTGAGGGTACATGTCTGCAACAACCATTAGCGGTAACAATCCCACCACGGTGATACGCAGCGCTATAAAGAGAGGTCTATAGAAGTCAGGCGAAACAACTAAGTACCAGTACGTCTTGAGACTCACCGTATCATCGTTCAAGTTACCTATTACTCGAACCTTTGGCACCTCTTTTTCCACCTCAGCGCCATTCACCAAATCCTCCCGCTGCTTCTTGTCCCACTTCCGGCTCTCCGCAATGTGCTGCCAGTCAATGGTATCCATCAGACGTTCAGCACCTCTTTGGATCCTTTTATATTAACAAACTGTCAATGCTTTCCTTATCTCAGATACAAGGGGGAAAAAACAACAACAACAACAGAGCAACAAAACAAAACAATCACATCGGAGAGCAATGCCCATTCCCAGCATACACACATAGATAGATGGATAGAAAGAAAGAAAGAAATATATATATAGATAGACAGATACATACAAGACATAAGGTGACAAGTACAGAAATAAACACCCAGGGCAGTCCATTTGCGTCTAGCGCGACAGTGATCGACTACACTGCCTCTCATATCGCTTCCACTCCGCCTCTAGCCTTGACGTTAGTTCTTGCCATGCACGCTGCTCTGTCAGCGCCAGCTGCTTGCGTTCCACTCCCTCCACACTTGTGCAAATGTGGAGGGGGATATCACTGGCACCACCGCCCCTAGTTCTCCGCATGCGTGACTGCGGGGCTGTTGTCTGGATGGACGACGGGAGCGACAGGGTGGCATCATCCCCGGAACACCGTCCAAGAACAGCAACAGAAGCAGCAGCACAAGCCACCTCTGGAACGCGGGTAACAGATGAAGTCATCACATCGCAGCTGACAGCACCACGACACGGTGTGCTGTTACTGTTGCTGTCTGAATGGGGCTTCGCCGGCTCACAAACAGGCGGGAAATACACCGGTTGCGAACTGGCACCGTCTGGCACAGGGAACCCATTGTGGTTGGCCGCCAGCTCCCGTATGCGGCCCTCCTTTGCGGCAAGGAGTCTCCTGCTGCCCATGTGGTTCACCACCGATTGCCACTGCGCGAGGAGCAGCTGGCGTGAGAGCTGGGCCTCCTGCACGATGCCCACTCGCTGCGACCCCTCTGATTCACACAGGAGCGCATGCATAAACTCGGACCACCTCGTGTCCGTCGTGCAGGAACCACTCACAAGCGTCTGCGTCTCTTTCGTTTTGTGATCTGCACCCAGCGAGTGTCCTTGGCGTCCCTCTTCAAGAAGCGTCATTCTCTTCTCCACGGGCCCAACAGTACACGCGGGGAACTCGGTCTGGCGATCCAACGCCCCTCTCCGTCCTTGCAGCTCCACTCTTGCCGTCACTTCCTCGCGCGCGGCTACCAACAGTGTGATGCGCCCCAGCCGTTCCTCTACAATCATGGTATGCCGTCGCACGCACTCTTCTGCAACGCAGCGGAGTAACAAGAGACGCCAACCGTCACGGTGCGCCTGGCACGATATCTGCCGGGCTGTCCAGCGGTCGAAGTCCAAGTTGCACCTCAACCCGCCGCCAGACCCCGCTACACATGTCGATGTCGAGGGCAATGTGTCGGACACCCATACGCGACTGCGACTGCCACTATAAATGTTGCCATCAGAGCCTTCGTAGTACTTTGACCGTACACCGCCGTGCGGTACTTCCTGCGGCTCCAGCCAGCAGGAGGAGGCCGACTCTGTCTGAGGTGAGACTCCTCTTACTCTTTGTGTGCCACCGTCGTCGTTGTTAGGGGAGGTTCCTCTTTGATGGAAGTGGTTTCCTGTTATAGGCGGGAACAACTGCGCCGTTACCGCTATCTTCCCTTCACACCACGCAATGGCCTTATCAACCTCACGTAACAGCTGCAAAGCTTCTGACATATCACATGTATTGCAGTATCTAATGTCACCACTTCTGCTGCTGTGATGGTTATTTGCCGAGTCGTTTAGTTGCGATGCATACACCATAATGGAGGGTGCTGCCATGGCCGCGCCCACACCTGGCACTTGATCTTCCCTCACCTCAAACGCACCTGCGGATGCCATACTTCTGTATGCCATGATTAAACCCTCTGCCAGCAGTGCTTGATCATCAGCGAGCGTACAGACAACATCATCTGTGAGAAAATCCAGACGGCGCTCGAGGGGTGTGCGTCGAGGCAGCAGTAGATGTGTTGATGAGGTCAGGGGCCCAGTTCCAGCGCCATTCCCCCTCATATCCATTGCGAAAATCGAAAGGGGGAAAGAAGGCGCTCGCCAAAGGAGAATCTGTGCAAGAGTCAATGGGATGTACCCGTTTTCTCTATATATGGAAGTGATACAAGGGGAAAAGATCCAGGCTCCCAACCTATTTTACCCTGGCCCTACCTATTTTTCTACACCTATGTGGGTCTATGTTTTTGTGCAACAAGTAGAAACATGAAGGTAGTAAACAGCACAAATAAATAAAAAAAAAACATGGAATAAGGTTTTGACTTGAGAAAATCTTCTCTTTCCCTTGCTTAGTTCTTTTTTTTTTTTGCATTTTATGAGAATCTCTCAAAGAAATGAATGTGAGATACAAATATAATAATAATAAAAAACCAAAAGTAGAACACTTGTCCTTTTTTTGCCGTTTGGCTTCCTTGCTTAGTCACTTCACTCCGTAATTGCACCCTGTACAATACCTTTCTTGAATATGGAGTTTTTTTTTTTTTAAGAACAGAGCTGGGATAATTTTGCATTACTCTTTCTTTTCGCAGATTATGAAAAAAATGACTGGTGTAAAAAAAAAAAAAAAAAAAAAAAGTAAAAACTCAGGTACAGGGTGAAAAAAATGGCTTTTAAGAATACCACCTATTGCACAATTTGTTACTTTAGCCTCGCTTCCTTCAATGTGCACTCCGGAAGCATGGTTGTGAAAGAGGGAGAAATATAAAGCAAAGTAATCCACAGGATTAATAAGTGCAAGCTGTAAATATTATATACATATATATATATATATATATTCGAGTGGCACATCAAAAAAAACAAAAAAAAAACAAATGGTTGTACAAAAAATATGCACGTACAGCCCAATATGCACAAACCAAAGGCTATAGAAGAGGTTTTCTCTTCGTTTTCTTTACTTCTTTCCATTTCAGATTCCAAGACACATAATGAGAGGGGTTCAAACAAAAAAAAAAATAACAATGCGAAGCACAGATCATATTGCAAGAAATAAAAGAAGAAATAAGAACATATGTATATCACATATCAACAGTAAGACTGAAAAAAAAAATAAGAGAAAATAAAATAACGGACATATTTCGGGTGGTGGTGGGGAGGGGAACGTACCTGTCTGCTTATGGTTGCATTCAGGCTATTGTTTTTTTTCTTCCTTTTGCACATACAATATAACGATCATCTACACCATATTTATTTCCCAATATTCTCGTTTACATAACTCTGGACACATGAATTTACGGCTGCCTCTACTTCTGACGTATTCAACCCCAAATCACGCACCAACTGCTGTTGTGTGTATCCAATAGCTCCCTCGTACTCTAAACACGGGAATGTGTCTCGCTGAGACGCAGGAACGAGAAGTCGTTGAGGCAGTGGTCGCCCTGGGTGATTAACAAGCAACTGCTCGGCATCAATAGGATCACCAACGAAAAGAACAATGGTAGATTGTTCGTCTGAGTAACGTAATGCACTTTTCTTAAACCAAGAGAGAATGACTTTTTCCATAGGCTCTGCCTCCAGGTCGTCTAGCAACTCTTCTGGGGGTTCACCAGGGAACCACGGTATTGCGTAATGTCCATGACGAAGTGAGTTATCATCGGAGAACAGTCTCAGTATCGACCAAGCAGCCGTCTCTGTTTTTAACTGTGCGGCACCATACTTCGATATTGTTTGAAGGTTGGTTATCTTAATAAGATAAAATAGAGCAAACGCAGTCGGATCTTCAGTTACTCCAGTTAGAACATGCATAGGATCAGAAAACCGTGGTGCACCAACATCTGAGGACCAGTCACGGTGAGATGTATACATGAGACCATCTGGTCCATCCCATCCCAAGTCCACAGCAACAGCATAGAGCGCACATTCATTATCCAAACCATGCAAACTTTCAATAGCTACAAAGAACCCACGCTTCTCTTCATATGGGATTATGTAATTAATTTTGTTCCCCATTGGTTTTGGAATTCCTTTAAATCCTTCTGCAGCCGCTTCAAGGTTTTCAAAGCACGGAGTGGTGTGAAGGTCTTTTCCAGAACGTGAGAAGAAAAGATGATGTTCACCTTTGGAGGGTTTAGGCTGACGTGGGGCATCAAAGCACGGACCCTCTTTATCTCCATTCAAACACCAAATAACAAAACCACATGGACAACATTCTGCACGTCCCTGAGGTGGTGTGAATAATTTATAGTAAAGGGCTTGTGAGTCAATGGTTTCTTCTATCATCATCTGGGAATAGTTGCCCATGGCCTTACGTTCTGCGAGAATATCACCACCACCATTTACGTTACGGGCCTCAGGCCTTCTTGGGTCACCTAGTCTAACGCGTGAGATAAATTTTCCCGTAATTAATCCGTTATGAATAGGTATACCAACATGACCAAATACATATGGACCATCCGCTTTGGCAGTTATGTATTCAATGATAACAACGGCAAAAGTTGTATCAGTGACAGGAATGCTTTTCATATCAATAAAAAAGTTAGGACAAGTTGTACTGTCATTAATGTCTTGATATTGAACAATATTTGGAGGTTGCATAAAGAGTGCAGGATTATCAGCCAAATTTACTGTTTCTCCAGTTTCAATATCCATATACTCTAAAATATACACCAATACACGGGTGAACGCTGCATCAAGCGGAAGCCCAGTAACTGCAGTTATGCTAAAGTTCACTTCATTCATCGTAGTATCATTACTTGAACCCCCCAAAAATGGCGATATATCATTTTCTGAACGTAGTCCAAAAATTAAGCTTGCATCAGTATCCAATTCCTCATCTTCTTTAGAAAACATTTCCATTTTATTCACATCATTTTTGTAGTTTGGTGGTACAATAACGTTACCATTTTCATCAAAGTTAATATCTAACATGTGCTCTTCAACAGCCTTCATGTCTTTAGGCACATATGCTGGAACTTTTTGAGGAGTGGTTTCTGACTTTGGCGGCTGTGCTGAAACAGATGATGGTTGCTGTTTCTGCTCTGTTGGAGCTTTTTGGGGAGTAGTCTCTGACTTTGGCGGCTGTGCTGAAACAGATGATGGTTGCTGTTTCTGCTCTGTTGAACCATTTCCCCCAGGTGTTGGATGTCTTTCTGAGTGAGTAGGTGGATGATGTTTCTGTTCAGTTGAAACATCCTTCTCATGAGATGAACGTCTTTCTGAGTGAGTGGGTGGATGTTGCTTCTGTTCAGTTGAAACATCCTTCTCATGAGATGAACGTCTTTCTGAGTGAGTAGGTGGATGTTGCTTCTGTTCAGTTGAAGCATTTCCCCCAGTTGATAAACGTTCCTTGGACCTGGGCGGAGAGTCTCTTGTAACTGTATTCCTCTTAGATGCATGCGGTTCTAACGGTTCTTCACTCTTAAGATGTACAAACGGGTTACTACTTAAATACTGTTCCGCCTGCACTAAAACATCATCATCCGGATGACAAGCAATCGTTCCTCGAATCATTGCATTTTGCATACAACTACTGTTCATCTGCAAGGCGCTGGGCACATCCACTGGAATACGGCGCAACGCACCCATCCACAATCCCTCCTGACGAGCATTCACAGAGGCCCAAAACAATGGTCTTCCCTTAAAACTGAAGGTAATGATGAAAATATGTAGATCTTTTGCCTTTGCTACTCTAAACTCCATGGGGTTGTCGAGAGTAATTAAAAAAGTGTCCACCCCTTCACGACGAATGTCAACATTTCGATATTGTTTCAGCGCCAAAGATTCTAGCAAACAACCCTCTTCACCAGCGAAGAGGCGGTACTGCTCAATGGAAAGGACAACATCTGTTAAAGGCACTTGAATATCTATTCCCTCCAAATGATCTACCCATAATGCGTATCTTTTCGCATACAATAAAGAACTTGTTGGAAACGGTGAATAAGAAGACGAGGTTTCATTCATCTCATTCTTTTTTGGAGCGACAAATACCGCAGGGCCCTGCTGCCGGTGACGTGATCTCTCAACAGATAACACCTGTAGATCTTGTTGCTGTTCTTGGGCTTGGTGCTGCTTCTGCTGTTGTTTCTGTTGTTGTTTCTGCTGTTTTAGATGCAGTTGTTGTTGTTGTTGTTCTTGTTGTTGTTGCTGTAGTTTCTGCAGTTGTTCTTGGAGTTGTTGTTGGTGCTGCTGTTGCTGCAGTTGGTGTTGCAATTGTTGTTGAAGTTGTTGTTGGTGTTGTTGTTGCAGTTGTTCTTGTTGGAGTTGCTGCAGTTGTTGTTGGTATTCATGCCGTCTCTCACCCCGATGGTGGGAGTAGTAGTCTACTGTGGGTTGTCTCTCCTCCGGTGTTAGTAACTTCATGGCTTGCAGCTCAAGCCGCAGACGTTCAACTTCACTTTGATTTTTATTTGCCACCTCCTGCTGTGTACGAACAGCATTCACCACCGCCTGTACAATCTGATCATACATATACATTTCCCTTGCTGGTAACGTGAACGGAGGAGCCTCTGGGGCGACTTGCATAGGTGGAGCTCTCACTATTGGAGCAGACATCGCAGCAGCAGCAGTAGCAACAGGATTATTTTGAACACCCATTGGACTACACGTATTAAATGTGTATGGTGGGTTCATTGTGTAATTGTTATTGTTGGGATATATATATGGAGCTGTAGGGGGAGAAGGACGTATTCCATTCACAAGATTACCACCAGTACAGTACAACTGTTGATGTATGGAAAGTGTTTGTCCATTATCAAATAATGCCCCACAGACACCGCAGTAAACCATTTTCCCTTTGGTTTATTTATTTACTGATCTGTCTGTTTTGTTTTTTGTTCTATCCTTTTTTTTTTTTGCGAAGAACTTTTTAAAGAATAAATTTAAGAAAAAAAGAAGGTATTTTGTGTGTTTGGAGATATTTATTAGAGAATATAAAAGGATCAGAGTTGTTACTTATTTTTTGAAAGGTCTCAAGAGAAAATCATAGCAATAACGACCGCAGAAACAGCAACCGCAGAAACAGCAACCGTATATAAAAGAAATCCTATTTTCAATATCTTTAGCTCATTACATACGTATATATATATATATATATATATATATATATATATATATATATATATATATATATGTATACGCTAACCATCAATACATGGTCACCTGCAGAAGAAGCCATATCCATAAAGACTACTCGCAAACAGCAACATACAAAAAAAATAAGAATAGAACCATATAGAAAAGAAGAAAAAGGAAAAGAAAAGAAAAGAGATAAAAAAACAAACAAAAACAAAAACAAAAAAAAAACACTTCACTTTCTTTATCTTCGCCCGTCTGGCTGCCGTTGCATTAGTGTTGAAACTTCTTCTAATGGAACGCCAAAATGTTCCTCCAGCCGCTCTGCGAGTTCATGCCGCCGTTGACGCCAATCGGAGGAAATCAAACAAAATCTTCGCTGCGGCCGCTCCACACGTGCCGCAAATACTTCCGTGCGAACATCATACACTTCCTTCGCCGTATCTCCACATAATATATACTGCGGATTAAACACAATACTACACGACCAGTCAATCTCAAAACGTGGTTTATGACGAAGTTCACGGGGTTCTACATAATGACGTAGTGTCTGTTTATGCTGAAGAACAATGAACTCCGTCGTCCTTGTCTCATCATTGTTACTATTACTATTCATATTGCTATAATCAGCACCACCATCCATGATATCTTTCTTCTCTGTAAATACATGTACAGTCCAGGCGACATCTTGTATATGCTTACACCAAGGGAAACGTAGTAATTCCGTTATCCACTGAATAGAACAGAACACCACAGACTGTACCATATACTGCATTAAGCGAAGTGCTTTACTCTCCACCTTATAATGAGGAGAGGATCGAGTCACAGCATCCACTGTACCATAATTAGGTGGATTCCCAACTTCTCTTGTTTCTGTTGTTGTTGTTGTTTCTATTTGCGTGTTTGTTTTCTTTTCCGATTGCAGCGTCTCTGCCCGCATCATTCCACTCTCCAGCAATACAGCCAATAAGAGGGCACTGGCATCTGCCACATCTACACGGGCCGCATGTGTACTCCACGCGGTGTACATCCCACTCGCATCTTCACCACACAACTCCATCAAAAATCCCACCGCCGTGCGTACACGTTGATTTCTCGTGGCAAGTAATTCCACATCATTATTATTATTATTATTATTACCATTATTATAATCATCTTCTTTCGGATTTTCATCTGGATAATGTCGTTTGCCTTCTTTAGCGTCTACTGTATCCTGAGCCCTATCCATATCATTATGATATTCCTTCTTCTTCTTCTTCTTCCTCTTGTTGTTGTTCGCATCTTGTTGCTCTCCATCATCTTCGCAGTAGTTGTGATGTGTGTGGGTGGCGACGTAAACAGGAATGCGTGGAAAGTCGCGGGTGACGGCCACTGGATCTCCATCCACCGCCTCTAACATCCGCTCCCGCCAGACACCGTCCATTCGGTTAAAATGAACCTCCGCATACTGCGGTGGGTGAAATGGGGATTGATGATGATGATGATGTTGTTGTTTTTCTTCTCCTTGTTGGAATGGGGATGATTTTCTTTTCCTCACATCATCTTTACCACCGCAGGAGGCCCCTGTACCCATGTGTTAAGTAGAAGAGAAGTAAGAGAAAAAGAAAAAGAGATGGAGTTTTTTTTTTTTCTTTTCTTTCCTTTTTTTTCGTTGGGTTTGTGTATACTTGTGGAAGACAGGGATAGAGAATATATATATATATATATATATATNGCTTTTCTAGTTCTGTTCTTTGGACGTTGTTGCGGTTAGTGCTATCAAAATTCTCTACGTATCTAACCAAGAATATATATATAATATATATATATATATATATATATATATATATATATGGGGATTAAGGCGAATAGAGAAAAAGAGAAAAAAAGAATGGGAGTGTTAACAAACAATAATAATAATGTAAAATACACACATACAGACAGACAGACAGAGGGAGAGAACATAGTGTTAACGAAATACACAGAAGAAAAAGAACAACAATAAGATAAGGAAGACAAACATACCGTTTGTACATTCCGATGGAGAAAAAAGAAAGAATAAATAAATAAAATAAATAAATAATCACAGTCTCTTATCGTTGTTTTTTCGATCGATCTACCATTTAACGAATTGTTCTCATACATTCATACACAAACATACATGTATTGTACTAATATATATACAATACGAAATAATAATAAAAAAAAAAGATGCGTATTGACAACGCCAATACTAATAACAATAATAATAATAACAGTTGATATAATAATAATAAATAATAATAATAATAATAATAATAATAATAATAGAATTTGCCCCGTAAACGAATTTTTGCTTCTTCAAAGACCGTAAATAATAGAGAACGGAGTGTACAGCAATATATGTTATACATACGTACACAGACTCCCATATATTCTCATATGTAATTATTTCTCTGTTGCTCTTCCCAATCCAGTAGATCTACAGGAAGCAATAATAATAATAATAATAATATCAGGAAAAAAATGAAGAGAGAAGTAAAGAAAGTAAGAAACAAACAAACTCCATTTCTTTTCTTTTTCCCTCATCCACCTTTATTTCATCTTCTCACTATGAATTTCTCTGCTATTATTTACAATTAATATTGTTATTATTTGAGATAAATAGATAAATTAGATTGATAAATGCCTACATGCATCTGCAAAGGGGTGGGGAAAATACAGAGCGACGAGAGAAAAAAAAGAAATACGTACACCGTAGCCGTGCCGGTCCACATGTGTCGAGAAGAAAGCAAAGAAAAAAAAAGAAACAAACACACATACATACAGAAATATAATGAAAAAGGGGGACAAAGCACAAAAAAGCAAAAAACAAAAAAACAAACAATATATAAATATATAAACACGTAAAGACATAGCAAAATAAAATAAAAAAAAATGAAAAAAAGAAAATGGCAATGACCTGGGGGACGGAAGAAGAAGAACAACAAGAAGAAAGCAAAACATGTCAAGTGGAATCAACCATAATGATAATAATAATAATAATAATAATAATAATAATATATTAAATTAGAATACATACATATTAATAAGAATATATATATATATTTATTATAATAGCTGTTTCTGCTACTGTGTATTTAAAGGCGACTGTTGTTGTTGTTGTTGTTGTTGTGTGTTTGTTGTATCGATCACACCCACTGCGAATGGTGCCAAAAGTCCTTCACACGATACCCATCTGTGATAATAATCATACAATGCCGTACAATCCTTTCCGGCACATTGCATTAACAACCGCCCACCGCCCGGATGAAAGTGTTGGAACTTCGTACAATCATACACGACACCGCGAATAACAAGCCAAAGATCATCTGCTGTGGTGTGCTGCATGACTTCATGCATGGAAAGTCGTGGAAGCGATTTACCCCCACGTGTAATGACACCTTGTTTATACTCCACCTTTTTCTTCTGTTCCTGCTGATGCATTAAATGACTCCAATCCCGCATGGAACAGCCCAAGTGACAAGGGACACGTCCACGTGGAATGGAATTCACAATCTCCGGTGTGAGGGAGAGACAGAATCCATCCTCACTGCAGAAGGGCAATGCACTGGTCGTCCCCAGCCGCCCACTCTGCGTCACTTCAGCCTGCGCCCTCCTCCCCTGCAGAGATGCGGCTGGGGGAGAGAGACTGGACATCGCCTGCAGAGGGGAGGAGGGGGAGGAGGAGGAGACAGAGACAGAGACAGAGGTGGAGGGCTCTATTGGATCCACGGAGAGGGGGTGGTGGTGAAGGGCGTTGGTGGGGGAGGGCGATGGGGGAAGTGAGCGGCGGTCCAGCAGACAGTTGCTGCTGTTAATGCTGCTGCTGTAACTGCTGCTGCTGCATGCGGAGAAGAGACCCTTCGGGCCCTTTTGGGAAATGAGAAAATCGGGTTGATGGCGGTGCTCAATACCTTCCATATGTGAAGTTAATGAAGAAAGGGTTATTATTATTATTATTATTATTATTATTATTATTATTATTTTTTTGTTTGGGGGTGGTGGGTACTCTGTGAGTGGTTAGTCTCTTCAATAGACCCTTTTTTTTTGGTTTGGTTTGGTTTGGTTTATTTATTTATTTATTTTTTTTTCTTCCTTCCTTTTTCTTTTCTTTTCTCTCTCTCTTTTTCTAAATAAATAAATAAATATAAATATATATAGATAATATTTTTCTTTTGATATATTTTGAATAAATAGTCCTAACACTCTGTCTTCTTTTTATTTTTATTTTCTTTCTTCTTTATTTATTAACGCAAGTAATTATTATAATGAAATTTCTTCCTTTCTTCCTCCTTTTTTCCTGGCAATTCTATTTCACAATTCCACACAACCTTTATTGTGTGATATTTATTATACCTTCTCTTTCCTTCTTTTACTCCCTTATTTTTCTTTTTATTTTTTTTTGTAAATATATTTCTTTCTTCCTTTCTCTGTCTGTTTTGGTTAATTGCAAATATACGAGAAGTATAAATGTGAACACAGTTAACCTTTTCCTTTCCCTGTCTCTCTCTTTCTTCAGGTATTATCTCGCTCCTACTTTGGGTAATATAATAATAATAACAATAATTCCAATTACAAAGCAAATGTTTTGATCTCTACTGCCCTTGAACAGTATTATTTTTTTTTTTTTCTTTCGGTTAAAATTCTCTCTCAACCGGCAAAGCGGAAGAAAAAGAGAATAAAACTAATAAAGAAAAAAAAAAACCCACAATGCCAAGAATATATATATATATCAAAGGATATTCAGTGATGTCAAACTAGAACAGTTGACTTCACCTGAAGAAAAAGAAAAAAAAAAGAGGAGGAAAAAATACACAGAAATGTACTCTTCTCCCCTTCACTTGTTTTCTCTGTCTGCTTTTGCTTCTGCTTCAGCGGTTCCTCCTATTAGTGGTAGTTAATAGTGTCTGCTTAACGGTAAGCCTTGTTGTTTACACTCCTTTCTTCTTTTCTTTCCTTTCTCTTGCGCGAACAAAGAAGATCCCTGAAATATTGGTAATATAATAGAGTCTATATATATATATATATATAATTTAGTGAATATAAACGCCTACTCGGCGGAATAAAAATATATATTTTTTCTTTTTTTTTTCCTTTTTTTTTCCTTTAAACCCTCCTTCTCGTTTATTTAGTTTTGTCTATGTTCTTTTTTTTTGTTTAATATTCTTATGTTTACCACAAGAACAATAAACGAGTGAAGGAAAACAAAAGAATGTGGAAAAGCAAAAGAAATATATAAAAAAAAGAGGGAAATCAAAGATGAAAAATAGTCCCTAAAAGGATAAATATCCCCCTCTTCACTATACATACAAAAGAAAAAAAAAAGAAAGAAAAAGAGAAGAGAGATAATAGAGAAATGTTTCCACATTAACAGAGACATATATACAGATACATATATATATATATATATATATATATATATATATACAGGGCAATAGATGGATATACATATTTATTGATTATAACCAGAGTATTGCAATAAAAAGAAAAAAAAAAGGAAAAACAGCAATGTAGATAAAGAAGAAGGAAAAACAAAAACGCTTTTCTTCTTTAGTTAATTCTTCCCACTAAATATACCATGGTCCACACGTACATTTTGGTCTGGAAGTAATCAAGAGAAAACAATATATGAGTGGAATTCCCAGAAACACCCGAAGAGTCCACCCACCCAGATATATATAATTTATTTCTCTTTCTTTCTTTCTCTACAGACTTATTTCATCAACTCACATCGGACTTGAAGGATTTACATCATTTTGTTCCACAATCACGCCTTCTGCGAGTGTATCGGTCACCGTAAACACCTGCGGCCCTTTCATCGGCGTTGGGCTCCACCGTGCTGTCTCCCCACGAACGACACGATCCACATCGTTTACATCCGGCCGCATAAACAAACACGCAAACGGCATTTGATGCCACTCTGCAGTCGTACCTGTACCCGCAGTAGCATTGCGGATTTTAGGCACAGGGCGCACATTCCAATCATCCCATGGTACATGTTCATTAGTGTTTACCGGTGGGGGTTGCGGTGTGGGTGGGAGTAGCGTCTCTTGTGTATAGCAGGAAAGCATGACGACATTATTTGTATCTGAAGAAGAAGAAGAATTATTATATGATGTTGGTGGTACGGCGGGGAATATCTCCATTCGACTATTTTTAACTCGTTGCTCAAGAATGGAGTCACAAATGATTGGCCGTGGTGGTATCATAAATAACTCATGTTGTTCACTTAATCCTTCTTGTTTTGTTTGTGATGATAATGATGTTGATGTTGATGATGATGATGGAGGTTGTGGTACAGGGCAGGGAGGTGGACGTGGAGCTATAGCGGGTGTATACTTCACCGCACGTACAGCCGCTGAATTATCATGTGCGCTACTCACTGTAGAGAATAGTTTGAGTGGTTTCATCTCTTCTGGTCGTGGGAGTACAAACTCTGTGAGTGGAGTGAGATCTAACGGCACATGAAGATTTGCAACTGTGAGCATCATACCCCACCACAGTGAAAAGGCATCCACCGCCGCATTAGGAGATGCCGGGAGTAGTCGAAGTTCCTCCACTGCAGGTGCCGCATCCAACACAGAATCACCAGATGGCTTGGATGTTTCCGTTTTATTATCAGTAGTAGTATTAGTAGTAGTAGTAGTTGTTGTTGTTGTTGTTTCTTTATTTCCCTGCAGTGGACGTCCGGCGATATCCATCACAATCATACTTCCATCACGACGGCGAAAAAGGCCCCGTGAGACCCATTGCCCCTGCGACCAACAGCCCGCATACACCTCCCCATTGAGATAACGTTTGACTCCCAACATCCGCCGCTGTTTAAGCCGCTGTGAACAGGCATCACACACCCGCTGTGGGCCCTCCAACTTAAAATGCGCCGGTAGTGTCACCCGCCGCTGCGAACAGGCATCACAGACGACAAAACCACAGAGACGGCAATGATGTCGACGTAGAAAGAGTGAAAAGGAGACATGACAAAGTGCACAGGTGGGACTATGCATATCATCCACCATCACAGGAGGTGCAAAACAGTCATCACGTTCCCCTCCACACATATTATCATCACCACCAGCAACACCATTATTATCATTGTTACTCTTATTCTTATTAGTGTTATTACTATCACTATTATCCGCAAAGGTAGTATCATATACCGTCTGTGTAATGCCATCATACACACGGACCGCACCCACCAGCACATCTCTACGCCATTCGCCCACTACCATACACTCCCCAAATCGTTCCATCCCACGTCCTTCACGTCGTCCAGCGACAAACTCCCCATCAAACACACTCGCAAGGCCCACAAGTTTCCCACGTCCCTCACGTTCTCCAGACACAAACTCTCCACGGTACACCACTCCATTCCCTCGCTGCTCAATCCCAGTACCGTGCCAGACACCATGAGACCACTCCCCATTATACCGACCACCATCTGCACTGTACGACTCTCCACAACCATGCGGCCGCTGCTGCGCATCCACTTCTCCACGATACCGCAACGTTGCAAGGCGACCCTCACGCCATAAACCTTCATACACCGTTCCATCATCCGCACAATACACACCAGGTCCATCCCAGACATCATCAATGAACTGACCAACATACTGTTCACCATTGGGGAAGATCTGCACACCACGACCATGACGACGGCCCTCCTGAAAGTCACCACAGTAGTAATGACGTTTACCCCACCAAAGGGAACCATAAATATGTGGAACAGACCTACAGGTATATCCCTCATACACAATATACTCCTCCCTTTCCACTTCCTTATAATCTTCCTCCATAGGAATAAAAGATGTTATACTTTTCAGTAAACGTTGTTCCCTATCATATGATTCCGGCGTCAAAGGCGTTGTTATTGACAACCCTGATGTTACTGTTGCTGTTGCTGTTGTTGTCGTTGTTACTGCCGTTGCCGATTCCTTTTTCTCCCCTCCTTCTCTGGAATTTTCATCCTCTTCACTTTTGGCAAATCCCTGACAGTAACGCATAGGTAACCAAATGGTATTAAATTCTAACCCAAGTAACGCTGCTCGCCCACAGTCAAAACACGCTGGAACCTGAGATGGAAGTGCAGAAATATCGGCAACAACAGTACCTCCACCACTACCACTACTCATATTCTCATTACCACCACTACCAGGACTGCTACTACTACTAGTACCTCCAATACCACCTGTTGGAGACCCCATACGAAGGCGTACCAAAGCCTCAATTTGTGGATGACCACGTACATCTATGGGATGAAGACATGAACTGCAACTACTACGCTCACAAAGCGTACACGTGGTTTCCTTCCGGAAAAATGTATATACCTTATCACAAAAGGTACACGCCTTCTGTCCAGTTGTAACACCAGGATTTGTATTGTTACGATTATCACCATTCTGTATGGGATAAATCTTTTGGTGCAAAGGTGCATCCCAACGATGTGGAAGCATTAGACGTGGATGATTTTGTAACCATTCTGTACGCACAACTACACCAGATTTAAATACAACAACACCGTGACGCTCTTGCATACCCACAGATATGGATAAAGGTGGTTTAGATAAGTTTGTATTACTAACACTAGAAGAAACTCGTGACATAATAGATTGATAAAGGGTATAGGGTAATCTTGCTAGTTCCCATTCACCTATAAGCACATAATGGTCGTGAAATCCAATAATCTCTCTCTTATCTTCTTCTTCCTCTGATAATTTTCGACGAAAAAGGTTCATAAACATATTCATCATACCAAAAGAGTTACCACCACCACTATTACTACTATTTTTATTAGTTTCCTCATTCCCCTTAACATTTTTGGTATTATTATTATTAGAAGAAGAAGAAGTTGCTGTATCACCTGTATTAACTTCACTTTCCTCAGGAGCATAAATAGGATCTTTTGGATCTGTTGCATGAAATACACCCTCACCAAGAGGTGCATCCAATTTCCAACGACCAATAAAGAATGAACCATCTGCAAACCATATACGACCTACATTCCCATCACGATTTCCATTTTTAAAACTACCCATATATAAATCACCAGAAGGAAACTCCCATGATCCTGCTTCACAATCCAATACATCATTATTCCAATCTCCCATAATGGTATGTCCTGCAAGTCGAAGAATCCCAGGACCTTGACGCACACCATTCTGAAAAAGACCAAAGTATTCTATAATCGGTGGTGTCCCTGCAGCAACAGCAGCTGCAGCAGAAGCAATAACAGAAGAACTATCTTTTGTATTTCCCATACGAGGACTACTATTACCACTACTACTATTATTAATTCCTGAAATTCCGACAGTTGATGGTTCACGTAATTGTAAGTGTCCTATACCATTAAAAGTTTTATTACCCCATTCACCATCATATCCTTCTATGAAAGCATCTCCACACCATAATCCTGCTTGAATAGATCCATTCGTTCCTTGTAAAATTCCTTCTCCCTCACGTACGTCATTATTAAAGTAACCACTATACTCTGTTCCATCTGCGTAGCGGATATTACCTGGTCCTTGCCTCTTATTTTTAACAAATCGTCCAAAGAAAAAATCACCATTGCGATACCATAATAAACCATGACCATGCATCTTTTCACCAAGCCATTCTCCTTGATAACACGATTTATCATCAGGGAAACTATCATGCCAAAATATTGTACCTTCCTTTCGTTCTCCACGGTCAAACTCACCTACAAAGGTGGAAACTCCAGGATGTTGAACCACACCTCTTCCTTGAATAAGTCCATGTACAAAACAACCTTCTACTATAGCTCCTTGCTTACGAAGTGTATATTTACCCTCACCATTACGAAGACCATCTTTCCACATTCCTTCATAAACATCTCCATTTTTGTAACGCATAGTTCCCTGTCCTCGTATGGTATCGTTTGTAAAAGTACCATAATATTCATCTCCATTAGAAAACAACATAACACCCTCACCATGACGTTTATTATGGACCATCATACCTTTAAATTGACCACCATCAGCATAACTAATTTTACCATATCCATGACGTTCATCCCTATCCCATTGTCCTTCATATACTTCACCACTCTCCGTTACAAGTTTTCCCTGTCCCTGACGACGATTAGATATCCAATCACCATCGTATACATCTCCATTGACGTATCGTGCCATTCCTCGTCCATGACGATGATGTGTATGATGGAAATCACCAGTATACTCCAATGGTGCGTTCGTTTGCTCAAATGGGGAGAAAACAGAAATTCCACGCAATACCATATCTGAAACACGTCGACTGTATGTCATACGTCCATGTCCATGCATTTTTCCCTCATAAAATCCACCTTGATATGTAAACCCAGATGTTATTAAAACACCTTCACCATGAAATAAACCATTATGCCATGCTCCACCGTATCTATCACCACTCCCATATGTAGCTGATGTGGATTTAAATAACATGATACCAATTCCATGTGGTCTATCAAGAAGAAAATCACCATAGTACTCACTTCCATCTGGCATTATATGTACAGTTCGAGATTGTTCACGTGGATTAAACGCCATGACTTGCTGCGGCGTCACTGGAACAGAAAGCACAGATCCAGCATCATAAAAGACGAGGGGTGCAGGTATAGGTGAGGATGTGGATTCGGCATCTGAGCCTGGTTGCTGCTTAGGCTCACCACCCCACTGTTGTTGTTGACCACTCATTTTATTCTTTGTTTCTTTTACCCTCTATTTTTTTTTTAGTTATTATTATTATTTTTTTTTTTTTCAAAGGAAAAAGAGGAAAATTGTGAAGGTAGAGAGTGTGAGGGGTCTATGTAACTATTCAATGCCAGAAGAATACTATTTCTTTTTATTTTTTTTTCTTGATAACACTTGCACACTCTGTTTTTTATTTATTTTTTCTTGGTTTTGTCTTTGTATCTCAACCTTACTACTATACACTCCGGTAGAAAAAAGACTAGAGCCACAAGTTTGGAATACAGTACAGTATAAATATATATAAAGCGTTCCTCCCCTTCTAAAAGCCTTATCCCTCTCAAGAATGTTTTTTTTTTTTATTATAATCTTTTTTTTTTCTTTTATTTTCTCTCTCGTTCTTTTCGTTATTTCAATTCACGTACTCAAACACATTGGTTCGTCAAATCCCTCTCACAACTAAACTTCACAACGCAAATCATCATATTTATCCCGCTACTCCCAACTACTCTCACCCATCGTCCATTCCGTTCTAACGCACACACCAAAAAAAAAAAAAAAAGAATAAATAAATAGAAATATTACTAATGATTATGATTATTAATAATCAGATAGCGTACTTCTTCCCTGTTTATTATTACTCCCCTCCGCCCGCACCATACCTTCATCAAACCAAGCCCAGAAACCGTAAAGGAGATCTCCCTGGACCTGTTAAGTTGTGAAACGCAGTGAAGTACCTTGTACTGAAAATAAGCGATACTGTCAATATCGCCCCTGCCAAACCCCACACCGCAACAGACAGGGATGAACCTGAGATAATGATAGGACTATCAAAATTTCCCATCATTGTTTCCATTCGTCGCGATCTATCATATTGATTACGCTTTGAAGTGGAAGAGAGTACTTCATATGCTTGATTAATTAATACCATTTGTTCTTGTGCAGCTTTCTGTTTCCCCGGTTCATTCCCTACACGATCGGGATGATTCGATAAGGCACTTTGTCGATATGCACGTCGAATTTCCTCATTACTCGCACTTGGCTGTACGCCCAACACCTCGTAGAGATCCACCGGTTGTGCACCCGACATTCTTCCCATTGGATCCCCCCCATTTCCGTTGTTATTATTATTATTATTATTATTATTATTATTGTTGTTGTTGTTAGCATCATCCATTCCGTATGTGTGTCTAAAGATATTTGGAAGTTCCTCCTCCTCTTCTTCCGCCGCCTCCTCCGCTTCCCGGCGGTCTTCCATTTCATCCTCTGCAGTCGCGGGGTGAAGTAATTCCAGTCGCTCTCGCAGTCGGGCCGCGACCAGGCGACTGCCGTAGCAAATAAACGGCGATGCGAACAACACCAGCAGTCGCTCACACCAGAAGAGTTTTCCATCTGTGGCCGTGTGGGAAAGACGACGGCCCACCCACGCCCCCGTTACTCGTGTGAAATACACCAAAGTAGTTTCCATCGCACTGCGGGTTGTGCAGCAGAGATACGGCTTTAACAATCGCCATCGTGAAGTGTGTTTATTGCGGGAGATAATGAATGCCGTGGCCCACGCCGCCTGTTCTACTATTTGTTGAGTCATATCCGTTACCAATCCACTTGCGAAAACAGCGTAGGGTACACTTCTATCATAGCAATGACGGAAAAATAAAAGAGTTCGTTGATACTCCACTGGAAGAGAGTTAAGCACATCTTCACTGTTATCAACTCCCTTTGTTTTGTCACTGCCGCTATTCTTTTTACGTTTATCATGACGCATTAAAAGATCCTCCTCACTTGTTTTACCCCATAAAAGTTCTGGTAAGAATAATAAATTCCCTACCTTATACAGAACACGTGTAAGCCATAATTGATAGAAACGGTATTTCTGTACATACTCCAACAAGAGATGAAGCAGTGCGGCATCTTGCAACAACTCATATCTACTATCCATCAACGTTGCGACAAGCATACACTCTACAACTCGTTGCCCCATCCGCTGTGAAAGTACACCCATAGATGCTAACAGCCGCGATGCTGGATGTATGCCTCCTCCACTAAAGGTGGTATTCTCCAGAAATGTGTACAACACATCACAACTGAAGGAGGAACTGGTGAGATAGTGAAATATTAACGCACCAAAGAGTTCAATGCCATGCAATTGCAGAATACTATCACTATTCTCAGACATTGTGGCACCAAAAAAAAAAACAGCTAGAATTTCTATTCCGTTATTTATATATATATATATATATATATATACGTATATATTGCTTTTAGTTTTCCACGTATAGGGTGTGTCTAGATGTATATATCCCACAAACCCTATGAATTCTTTTTCTTTTTCCTTTTCCTGAGATCTTCACGCTTGTTCCCTCAATCTTTGACAAGAGAGATATATATATATATAAAGAGATAACCTCTTCAGAAATACCGACGGATTCACTCAATAAATAAATAAATAAATAAACGCAACCTCAAATACTTTTCTAGTTTTTGCTTTGAAAACAACTCCTTCTTGATCTTTTATATATTCTTCTGTATTCACACTTTATGCCTTGTGAGGGACTGGAGCTGAAAGTACGAGTCGCAAAATAAAAATAAAAGGCAAAGAAAATGACCTATAGACGTACGTATCACAATACGTTTTTATTGGAAATATAATGTGATCAATATCCTTCTTCCCCTTTGCGAAATAAGAAGAAGAAAAGAAGGAGAAAAAAAAAAAACAGAGAAAGAAGAAGAGAAACTAATTTAAAGAGTGAGTCCGAGTAATAGTCATAGTTAAAGCACATCATAACAGATAGAGGATTTTATTGGAAAATTAATAATAATAATAACACAGTGAATAACATCACTTCATAAGGGTTAAAAAAAAAAAAAAACAAGAACAACAGAATTAAACAATAAACAATAACATAAAGTAGGAGAAAAATAATATAGATTCTATATTTGCACTGAGCAGGCATTATCAACACCATTCTTGGGGGTTGCTCCCATCCGTTTTATTTCTTTTTTTTTTCTTTTCTTTTCTTTTCGGTATTACCACCACACTAATGTAGATATAAACAAAACCTCCGTGTGTATAGTCAAATCGTAGGGAGACATGAAGACAGAAAAATAAAAGAACAGAAAAAGCGAAAGCAAATATCATTCTTCTTCGCTCTAGAGATGGGTTTATACATATATCACTTCTTCAATAATAATAAGAAAATAAATGGGTACTGTTCCTCCATTATTTCTACTCCACCCTCCCATAGTTCTGCACATACATACGATAGTAATAGTAAAAACTGAAGCAGAAGAAAGAAAAAAGAAAACAATAACGAAAAGAGAAGCAATAATCTCACCAGTAATGGGAAAATAAACGAAATTCAACATGCAAATGATTGGATATATATATATATACCCTGTTTACTAAGTGGGGAGGGAAATCAGAAATGAAGGAAAAAAAAATAACCATAAAGATATCCTGTACATGTGTAATCGAACAAAACCCTGATATATATATATATATATCCCTCACTATGTATAATGATGAAACGACAAAAAAAAAAAAACACACACAATGAAGATGGGGAAAAAAAAAAAAACACTCAGGATAAAAAAGACGCATGTAGAGATTCTTAAGCAGAGAAACATGAAAAAGATTTATAAATTAATGTTCGAACATTAATAATAGATCTTGATTGAAGTTGTTTTTTTTTGTTCTTTTTAATTTTTTTTTCTGTTTTTGCTTGTGTTATACTCTTCTTCTATTATTCTTAAAAAGAAAAAGAAACATACTTGTTTTCATTATTTCCTTCCTTACTGTTTTCATCACTTATCACACACACACACACACACACTTCATCTTTACGTAGTGTGGTATGTGGATTCCGTTGCCAAAGACTTTGTTTACCGTCATTATTTCCCATTTCTTCCTCTTCTTCTTCTTATTTTTCCCACCATCATTATCATCACTGGTATTGATATTTCTTTTCTTTTCTTTTCTCTCTATACAATAACTCAAACACAAACACAAACACAAACAAACACATGTGTATATAAAGAACACAACCCCACCCTTCCTCCCTCAGCAGCAAATCACCATCATCATCATCACCACTTATCTTTATTTCCATATTCCCAGAGATTCACAACGGCGTCTGACCCACTTGTGGCTAACATCTCTGTTCCTTGATGATAACATACACGAAAGACTGTACCTCCATGTGCCTTTGTACGCCAGACGGGCTCAGCCGTATAAGTATCTGTAAGCCGCACTGTAGAATCTCTACTGCAGGAGAGAAGGCCTCTACTATACGGCATGTATTCCACAAAATGTACCGGACGTGCATGTTGACAAGCACGGAGTAACGGTGATTCTGGGCGTCTTATATCCCACACCAACACACTTCCATCTATTCCAGAAGAGGCAAATTGCTGTTCATCACTGCGGAGAGCACATGTCCAAATAGTTTTACGGTGACCAAGAAAGCGGGAGGCAACTGTACTACCAGCACCATCCATACCCGTACCAAGTCGTAAATCATGCATACAAAGAATATTATCATCTCCTCCAGTTATGGCAAGCCACTCTTTTTGTTTAGATGTCTCTAATGCAAAGATAGGTCCTGTATGACAGGTAATAATACGTACACATTTATCAGCTTCAACATCCCAGCATCGTAGATTTTTATCCATAGCTATAGAGGCAAAACGTTCTTCCCCAGCAAGATACCCTACTCCATATACTTTATGCGTGTGTCCAAGAAATTCTTCTTTTACCTTTGGTTCATTGACGTCAAACATTCGAATGACGTGGTCATCACCACCATACAAGACGTGATTTCCATTAGGAGAGTACACAGCTGCGAGTACAACACCATTATGTACAGAAAACTCTGTTACTGTTTTTGCTGTTGCCACATCCCAGTGTATCAGTTGCTGTCTCGTACCCGTAAGCAATGTCTTTCCATCTGTAGAAAATCTCATTGTAAATGCCGTTTGCGAATGTGCCTTTACTGACCGCACAAGGCGTGGAAACACGGCAGAGTTGACTGTTTTGTTATCATGACTCTCACCACCACCAACACTAGTTTCATTATTACTATTACTATTATTATTGTTATTAAGGGTGTTAGACATAACCCCATCCCCATTCTCTATTCCTTCCAATGCATCCATATCATACCCCACATCATCAAGTGCCTCTTCAATAAATGGATCTACAGCAATATACCGTTTCTCACGCAACTCATTCGCAGAGGTCTCCACCTCCACACGTTTCACTCGCCGCGGCCGCACCGTAGATCCCGATCCCGTCTGTTCCATTGTACGTAAATCCACTGTGTAGGCACGTTTTTTCAATACAATCATGCACGTCTGCTGGCCCGTACGCAGTGCGGTGTCCAGCCGCTCGGACGCCTCATCGCCGTACGCCTCCCACTCGCCCGGGCAGTCGAGATCCTCCACAAACCACGCGTAGCGCCGCTCAGACCCCGCCGGGTTGTCGCCCCCAACGGCGTCCGGACGCATCGCCTCCAAGTACTCCGGTGGTGGGGGCAGTGTGGAAGGTATGCGGGGAGGCACGACGACAACGCCAACGCCGCCGGAGGGTTTTATAAGTATGGTGTCAATCACGTTAAGTTGACGCGATCCTTTGGGGATATTCGCATCGTCTTTATTACATCTCGTTGTTGTACTGCTACCAGATCCCATTGTGTAATGTATGGCACCTAGAAAACAAAAGTATACAAAGTATCAGTCTGTGTTTCTGTATCTCTCTCTCTCTATATATATGTATATACGTACGTATATATATATGTGTGTGTTTGCTTTTCCTATATATTAGTGTTCTTTTTTCTTTCCCTTTTTTGGGTTGCGTTCCTTCTTGGCTTTGATATGCTTCTTCTGGTTCACCCTGAGAGTTCTACTTTTTCCCCTTTAAGGAGCGTTTATTTTATTATTATTTTTTATTTCCTTTTCACTCGTGAACTAATACAGAATAAGAGATAATAAGAAGAATAACAAAAGAAAGAATATATATATATATATATATGGTGCAATAAAGGAAGAGAAGGGATTAAGAAAGGAATAAAAGTAAAAAAAAATAAGAAATAGACTATCGATTAAGTCACTTCTTTCTTACACATTACACAGAGAAACAAACGTTTATTTGAGAGTGACACTCCCGAGGTAGAGAAGGAAAAAACAAAAAGGGAACCCAGAGTTAAAGAGAAGGATATTTGTAATACAAGTGATGGGAGCAGTGGGTTCAATCACACAGACTCACTTTCCATCATTGTTTTTTTCCTTCTTTCTCTTTGATAATATAGCAGCAGAAGCAGCATTATCAAAATGGTACAGAAGGACACACCTTAGTTATTCTGCCCCATTCAAATAATGTGCACATAATATATACTTCTACTCCATAACTTTATCATATTTCTTCCATCTGTTCCTCCCTTTTTATTTTTATTTTTTAATATAAAGCACAATCAAGAAGAAAAAAACTGTTGCATATGTTTTTTTTTCTTTTTTATTTTATCTTCACTCTTCTTTCCACCCCACTCCAAAAAAAAAA